AGACAGAACGCGGAGAGAGAAAAAATAGCTTGGGGTGAGTACAGCTTGTGCCGAAACAACATGAATTACAAGTTTTACATTACGCCAAAAATTCTCAATGGAAAGGTGACAAGATCAAGTAAGAAAGAGTCAAGTCTAAAAACTGGTTTAGAAATACTTTATTTTCGTCGACCTCTGGTAGATTTGTCGTCGGTTTAAAGGATAATCTCACTTATGCGCCAGGCTGACGAATTCGTGGAAGGGTGATCATCCGACGGCCTCGGGGCACAGATTGCATCCACTGCTTCGGCCCCATGCCGAGATCGCCTCGGGCCTTCAAATCTGAGTTTAGAAGGCAAATTATCCGAGGGATCGGTGACGTGTAAAATGAACGGGCTTCTCTGTGTTAGCAATGCCATTAGTGAGGGATTGAATCCTGTTAACTGCTACACAGTCAGCCGTCCTCCTCTGATGCTTCCAATTGCGACGCAGGCGCTCAGCGGGCGCTCTGATGAGACGCGACAACAAACCTCTGCCGACAGTAAGAAATGTGACAGTAAATCTCTGTAAGAAACACTCGTTTTAATAATTGCTCTGAAAACAAGACATCGATTCTCTATTCAGGACATCGATTCTCTATCAAGGCCTATTATGTAGTTATAGGTTTGTATTCGTGTATGTTTCGATTAGTGTTTATTTTAATAGTTAATGAGATCGCAGTTAATGAAATCCACAATAATAAATATTATGATTCAAATTAAATGTTTTCTGATCATTATGAGTTAAGAGATAACTCAGAAAATTGGTTTTGTCTCTGACGAGTTCTATCCGTTGACCGCGCAAGCGTAGACGAGCTAAACCTGGACCACCGAAGTGGCGCCCTATAACACGATACGTTTCTCAGGGACAACGCTCTTCCATGCAGCAACTCCATCAGAACTGCTGTAAGCTCAACCCTAAGCAATTACTGATGAAGTTATCCGCTCTATGGCAACAATCCGGACACCGGCGATAGCGTCGGTCACGTCTAAGTGGGTGAGCGATGACGCAGGTGTGGTTAACTCTGTTCACAGCGGGAGAACTCGTGCCCATGTCTCAGCTTCTCTCTAATCCATCACAGCTCACACTTTTGCTTCTCAACTCAGGCTTGAGAGCTCTCTCAATAGACCTTCACTAAATCCTCAATTTAAATATCAGTGATTGAATACCTTGCTGCGCTCAGCTCGCGAGATGTAAAGCAAGCTGACATCGGCCACTCCATCTTGTCCAGTCTCGGCCTGGCGCCGAATTCGCAAAGGTCCTAACAAGAAACTTGTTAAAATGTTACCTACAGCCTTCCTCGCCGTTTCTTCAGAACCTGCATGTTAGTTTAAGCGTTCATGAATATATGCCATCAAGCTGGTATGACGGAGACGCCATTTACCCAAACCGCAAAAAAAAAAAATCATCAACCATGCATCGACAAAAGCTCTTCTTAGCGCAACAAACATCGAACTTTTTCCTGCAACAGGTGACAGCAACCCTCCTCTGTTTGGCAAACCACAAGTTGTTCTTCTAATCTCAAGAAGGATAGAGGACAAAATCGTGTCATCGTTATTAGACAAAAATTTTCAATTTAAGTTCCCTAGAAAACTAAAATAAGGTGGCTTCACTGGTACAACATTCAGCGTTTCGCTGGCACCGCCTCATCGACATTTAGGTTTGACATGAAACACTTTGTATGCCCATGTCTCAAACACAGACAACAAACATCACAAAATCAATCAATGTGTTCGTCTCTTGCGCGTGTGTACTGAGGGTCGACTATAGTATTCTCAAAAGTTGCCTTTGAGGCAAGCATCCATCGTATCGTTCTCCCTCGTAACGCAATTAAACCTATTGTTGTCGCTAATCCAGTTTGGTGTATCAATTTGATCGGCGGCGTCGACAACGATGGCAGAGCAAAAAATAGGAGTCGTAGCGCTGTGCTCGATAGCGTTGTTGCTGCAGCGCGAATACGCGCCAACACCATAACATGTCGCAAAGAATTATAAATTTGTTTGAAACTTTATTTATGGCCAAATCCAGACATTATTCATGTAGAAACTGCTTTATTATCATGAAATGTTTTCAAAATACTAAAATCATTGTAATAAAACAACTTCAAAAACATATTAATTCGTTAATTGACCTTAATTAGTTCATCCCTACACATCATGTCGCCTCGTTCAGGCCTTTGTCTTCCATTTATTCGCAGTAAGAATTGTTTAAAAAGCTCAACATGTAAAATTCTCCAAAATATTTTCCATTATCCCCAAAATAATTGTACAAAATTATCACCACTTCCCCACCAAAATCGCTCAATGTTCGTAACTTTTCCCTATTAGAATTGAAAAATCCATCCGCCATTTTTCCTTGCAGAATAGTGCAAGTTTGACGCCCCCTCCCATTACAGAATAATGCACAATTCTCCCCCACATGAATAGAACAAGGTTGGAGGTATTTCCTCCTATAGTATAGAAAAATTCTCTTGCATAGCGATTTGTTTCATAAATGTTTCTCTCACTTGAGGGGAATACAAATGTGAATTATTCTAGGATTTTCTAAAAATATGCCAGTATTTAAGGCTTACAAGACTTCATATTGTAGGCTCAGGTTGTCTTTAGCACAACGACCTCGGATTTAGCTTACCACATTATTTAGAGCAGAGGTGGGGCAAAGTACGGCCCACGGGGCAGAGTTCGAGTACAGATTTAAATTTATTCTATATTTGATTGGATGGTTGACTTCACAGACTTTATTTTTAATTTTTTTTACTGTGCGCAACTTAAATGGCGCGGTTTCTATAGAATTTTCGAGAAATTTAACAGAAATGAAGGCCAAGCTTTGAGTCAATAGCTTTTCTTTTTGCTCACGAAATGCAAGGGCATTTAGAGTTATTGGTTTCAGGCAAAATTTATCCTATATACTCAAAGTTAGAAATATAAAACAGCTTTGGAACTGGAAATCGTATAGCATTGTTGATATGGCATAAGGCTCAGTTAAATCAATAACTTTTTGAATTTAGACGGAGTATCAATACTTCAAGAGCCAGGAAAACCTTTTATTCACCTCAGTTTATCTTTCAATGCAACAGCTTATTCAGACCCATCGTCTCATCAGTCATTGACTACAAACAAATTATGACTTTAAAAAGCATTCTCATGCCTAAAAGTTTTGGCTGAAAATACATTTGGCATACCTTAGCTGAAGATACATTTTTGTGAGCCAGTGTTTTATTGCCTGAAAACTGTCAAGTCTTTGAACAGGCCGATATTTACTGACATGCTACTGCAGGCAAGCGAATCACAACCAATAAACTGGTTCGACAGTTCAAGAAATAACCGTAAATAGTGGACAGCTACATTCTCCTCATCAATTAGCATTGTGCTCTATGTATGGTTAGTTTTTTGCTTTATTATGCTACAGCGTCTCCGGAACTATTATGTCATTTATAGAGATGATCTTTTTTAACTTTGGCAACCGTATAAAAATAATTAATTACCTAGTAATTATACTAATTGCGGTTTCAACGTTTATTAGGCATTAGGCCTCTTGCCCATTCCTAACATGGCAGAACATTCACAGCTTGTTGCGGTCTCGAACTCGCAACTCACTGCTCCAATTTTTCTTTGCTAAACCGCCCGGCCTCCTCGCCGATTCTGACCAGAAACTGGCGCACAGAGCTGGGATCGAACCCGCAACTCTCTCTCCTACAATCCTGGTAGCATGGGACTGTAAGTGTCGATAATTAGTTGTTAGTTCGAAATAAAACTTAGCATAAATGTCGTGCTGGTTGAACGGTCGTAAACCTATAAATCCGTCAATTTATTATTTCTCTGTGTATAAAGGAAATTTTCTGCAAATAATAGAATAGAAGTGTCGGCGCTGAAGAAATAGGCCCATGGCCTGTTGCCGATTCTTGAACTTTTCGTGACTTGATTCACAAGGGATCCGGCCTTTGGAACCTGATCTTTCCATAGCTGACGATTGATTGAGATAGCTGCTGGACTTATTGCCTGGTCCNAAAAACGTGGGTCGGGCTGTACGTTCACCATCAAATTTCCAAAATTCGTGTGTTGTGTGCTTTTCGCTTTAATCATAAATCAGCCCGACCCACGTTTTTGGGGCAAGCCATAATTTATTTTCTACTTTTTAGTCCACAAGAAAAACGTGTTTTTTTAAAAAGTTTTTTTAAGTATTTTATTTTCTACTTTTTAGTCCACAAGAAAAACGTGTTTTTTAAAAAAGTATTTTTAAGTATTTTATTTTATTTTAGTTTATAGCCGTGGCCCCTGGTGTTGGTTCTTGTTTCAAATTCTAGTAATCCTTCTGGGCCCTTGTATAAGTCATGAGTATACTTGTATACTTCAATGAGGTCCCCACGCAGACGTCGATAATGATCGAGAATACTTAGTTTTATGTCATTGAAAAGGCAAAATTATTAAATTTGTATAAATATGTGTATTTTATGAAATTTATTATGATTCGAGTAACATTTTGATTCGGGGTGGCCCAGTGGTTAAAGTTCAGAGTACCAAGATTGGAGCAGAGAGGTGCAGGTTCGATCCCAGCTCTGTGCGCCAGTTTCTGGTCAGAATCGGCAAGGAGGCCGGGCGGTTAAGCACAGCAGAATTGGAGCAGTGAGTTGTGCGTTCGAGACCACATCAAGCTGTGAATGTTCTGCCATGTTAAGAATCGACGGAAGGCCTACAGCCTAATAAACGATGAAACCGCTATTGTTATTATTTATTATTATGACTGTTGCGACATCCTAACTAATTCACGGATTAAGGACTGTTGCTTTTGTTTTAGCAAAAATGTTTTTGCTCCACTTTTTTAATAGAAATGAAGGCTGGATTAAAAACATCAAGAGTTGAAGACAGGTTTAAATATGTTTTTATAAACTGTCGATATGTTGTTCACTTAGTCTTATCAGAAGCCTATGTAATATTTATCCATTTCTTCCGGGATTTAGTACAGTTGTTCCTCGGAATCGGACTCTGAAAAAAAATCACTTCTTTGTTGATTGTTGCTTTACTCGTTTACTGCATGCGTCATTGCTTATTCAGCCTTGATCTTGTCTAGTGAGCTAGTACAGATATTCATTTTTTGTTAAAATATTGCAACTAATACGAAATGGGTGAGTTTTATCCTATTTCATAACTGTAGAGTCAACCTTTCCTTGAAGAATAGAATGGCATGTTTGACCTCTTCTTTCTATTTTCAAGGGTAAATCTATTTCTGAGTTGTGTTAAATTCCTATTCAGATTGGATTGAAATCATTGAATGGAGACATGGAGTTGATTTTTCAATTTTTAATTTTCTCTTTCATTTGCAGGTTGTTGTCGTTGCTGTTGTCTGCTTACATTTGTGGCTGTTCTTATCATTGCTGGCTCCATGGGCCTCTTCACAGCCTTCTTTCCTTATCCTTCTCATGCCTCATGCTCAGTGAAGTGGTGAGAACTGAGAAGTGACAAGTGACAACTGAGAACTTGAGAAGTATAATTTATGAATTGTTCTCCTCTTTGCTTTATAGCTGTTATTTCTTGGGTTGGGTAACCATCTGATTATATTGAGTGTTATATTTGATTTCTAATTTCTATATCAGAAAACTTCTTGGTTTTAAAGAAATTGTGCTGCTTCTTATTCATAATGCTACAATTTTTTTGTATTTGAGATTCAAAGTGTAAAATTGGACAGAAGCCACAAATGAATTAGACAAAAACACCCTTGAATGGTCAAATGTGGTCAATCTCACTGTCACTTCAACTCACTTGTTATTGTTTTCATGATCATTTACCAAATTCTTCAGGTAAAATGATAAGAAGAAGCCTTTTAGGCTATCTTTACCTGCAATTCTCCAAAATTACCTGTGAAATTTTCATTTATGCCTGCAATTTTAAAAAAACTTCTGTTCAATATTAAAAGTTAGTTTGAGCTCTTGTGGCTCTTTTGACCCTGCTCTCTAAACTCTGAAGAGAATAAGTCATTGATTATTTGATTTAAAAGGTAATTTTGTTAAACACCATTTAAGTCATCTATCTGTTAGGTTTAATTAAAAAAATATTATAATTATAGTGTGCTAATATTTATTTCCAATTAATTTGTAATTCATTGTTATTGTTGTTATTTATTTATTTCAGTACCAAACTTTGTCAAATTTTTGTCTGACACAAAAACATTTGTTGAATGTTGAGGTCTTGCCAGTGTATCATATCCATATGCATGTGATGAAAACTTCAATCAAGGCAAGAAAAATTTTTTTTTGCTATTATAGCCTTAAGATTCAAATCAGATATATGACCTTTTGTGACTAGGAAAATGAGTTCATAGCTCAAAAACTGGTTTCCCACAAAACCACCATTATTAAACCATTATTCACAACTTCACCATTCATTAAATGCATTTGTATCTTGGTACGTATTTATTTTTATGGCTGCAAAATACAATCTGGTGTCAAGGAGTAAATATTTTTATACATTATATCACACTGCTGCATTACAAATTTCAATTTTATGCTTTGGTCTTCTCTGCAGCATGGACTTCCATAGTAATAATTTATAAACTAACAGCTTAGTAAAATATAGTATAGGTACAAAATATGGCCTCCTACTGACCAACTAACCTAAAAAACCTGCTACAATATTTGTTTAGGTGTTAATCTATTTATACCAAGCAGATATTTAGGCCTCCTCACTCTCAACATTTTATTTTTCACAGTCATATTAATTTTTAAATACTTGTATTAACCTTTCTTTCATGAACTCCAAGATGAAATTTCTCATCAATGTGACATGAACAGCTGAAATGCCTATGGCAGGCTGCATTCAGGAGATGCTGCTACTCCTGTTGCTGGGATGACCAACTCATGAGATACAAATGTCAAACTTTGGCTGAAGATTTCTCACTCTTCAGCCAGTTGTATGCCTCTTCTAGCTACCACACTACTGGTCCATGTTCATCTTCTAATTCATTCTGGTTGTCTAACCTATATTGAGAATCTCATCTCTAATCTATAGAACTCTCCAATCTGTATAAATTTCATCTTAAATCTAATTATATGGACTGGTTTCTTTCATCATTGTTTTATGGCATGCAACTGCAAAATTGTCAAGTGGATTTTTCTTACTTGAATTTGAATGGTAGCAGTGTGACACAGGAGGCAAAGTTTGGCCCAGATTACTTGATAGATAAGAGAGACTGGCTGCTGAAGAGATGCGAGTTAAATGTTTTTTTTTTTTTTTGTAACTGAGTTTGTAGGCGGCAGGTAGCTCTGTATTTTTCAGGATAATTCTATTCATTCTGTTGAAAAATTTATTACTTGATATTGGTCTGAACTGAGACAGTTAGAACTTTTTATTTTAAAAATGCATCCCTTAAATTGATTCTTTGAAAATATGAATGTAGTTTGCATTAATGATGTGAGTTATTTAAATCCTGAATGAAACAAAATATTTACTCACATGCTGAGTAATCAGAAGTTACAAACTTATTAATGCATTACAAGAGATTATAATGCATTAGTTACAATAGCATGCAAAAGTTTACGTGTCATTCCGTTCATTTTGTGTCATTTTCCACGTTATTTACCTGTATACATTTAATCATGTATCTGAAAACAGTGTGAGGGGTGATTACCAGTAATTTATTTGAATTTATCTTTTTTTTCAGGGAATTTGGAGAAGTTTGCCCTTCCGTTGAAGATCGGCTGGTGACGCAGATCAAAGAGTGGAGCCACAAAGACTGCACTGCAAAGCAGCGCTGTGGCTATGAGTTCCTGGGTCGTGATACTGATGTCATAAGAGGAACACACACCACGCCTTTTCTGAGCTTCAGGGATTCATTTAATTTCACTTTTGCTACCTCAAAGAATGGCTGTACTGTTCAAGTGAGTGGTAGTTTGCTCAAATGGTAGTCTGGAAGTTGTTGATTCATGTCCTATTATTATAAAATTGCTTAAATTTAACCTAAATCTTGTTATTTGTTATTTCTATTTCTAAAAACTAATCTCATGAAACCTTTGGTTGAGATTTATATAAATCTTTATACATATCTAAATTAATATAAATCTATACAAATTTTGATTGAATTGATTACCTATTTCCTTCAATGCGCAATACTTAATTAAGTTGGACTTTGGTTAATTATTTTTAAAATGCTTCTTTAATATTAGTGTGATTTTTGCAGGGCAATAGTTACTCTGAAGCTTGGTATGCTGTCATTGATTTCGGTGTGAACTACTGCAACCTGAAGAATCTGGTTATGGGGGCCCAGCTAGATGAACAAGATCCTTACTACACTGAGACCTCAAACAACACCGTGTGCACCATGTACAGCCTTGCTCATTGTAACCTCTACACGTGATCTTTCAAGCAACTTTCAGAAACATATCCTGCACTATGTAGTCTACAAGCAAACTACCATGAGGCTTTCAGCAAAATTCTCTGCACTATCTATTCTCTACACTTCTTCAACCTGGATGCTTCTGGCAACCTTGTGTTCATTATATATATAATCTACTTGGGGACTTCTGGCAACATCCTTTGCCCTCTGCATTACATTACTCAACGTAATCTCAATGTGTAGTCAATGCTGCATATTGCTTCTCTTTATATTTCCTGGTCTCCAAGTTGATTTTACCTGATGCTATCTTGTCTCAAATTGGACGTTAATTGCTTTAATTAAGCTTATGTATCCTATTAGCAAATAATTTGCATGTTTTTTTCGCTAAACTACTGTCTAACTGATCAAAGACTTTCTGCGATCAGTTGTGTGTTCAGTTTAACTGCTTGATTACTCAATCCAATAACGTCATACTCTTCCAGTCTCAAACTTAGTGACAATAATGTCAATGACTTCGCACAAAAGGCTACCTGCTCCAATTTCCTCCCATCAATCTGTGATGTCTTCCACAATAATTGCATGTTAATGTTTGTAGTAGAAGTACACTTGTAGTAGTAGTAGTAGTTGTAGTACTTGAACTTTAGCAGAGTTTAACTTGTTCAAGCTATAAATAATTTCACTATATCATGTATCAATAGATGTAAGAGTTGGGACCGATGTTTTGGTTGAAAGTTGGGACTTCATACTATTCAAGTTTCAACTTTTTTGTAGTTCAAACTAGAACTCCTTGTCGTTTTCGTTATTTTCTAGATTTCGGTCGTTTCGTTCTATCTTTTAACCAAGGCAGTCCAAGGCTCATCAATGAATAGAGTTTCATTCAGGACTAGTGTAGTCATTAAGGTCTCAATGCCTTTCTCACAATATATTCGTCATATCAATACCTTTTAAATAATCACAAAGTAATAATTAGCTGCTAATGAATTTCTCAAGAACGTTGTCTCGACCGATGACGCAATTCTGTGTGAAGTCAACGCTGCTCTGATGTCATCTCTTGCAGATGTACCTGAATCAATGTATTGACTCGTCCAGGATTCTTTTACGTATGTGTAGAAATATTATTATGCCCTTGAAATAATACGATCGTGTGCAATAGTACTCTTAGAAATGCTCCAACTCTACTGCTGCATGCTCGCATTGCTGTGAATAGTTATTTTTATATTTTTTAATCTGTTGTTCCTGAATACTGATGATATCGTAGGAATATATCGTTTTCATTGGCATGACAATTAAGTTTAAAGATATTTCGTGTTAGAAGATTTTCTCTGTATAATTTTGATATGATTAATATCTTCTCAATACGATTCACTCCATAAGTACGGGTATACATCACGTTTGAGAATCTCACTTTTGTATTTAGTTAGTCTGGCTCTGTCCAGCAGAGCAGCAAGTTGAACTAGAGTCAGATTATTTATTGTCGCTCATCAATTAAATTGAAATATTATGCTTGAAAAAACGTCACAAGTTTAATTTGGGTACAGAATTTTATTGAATTTCATTTTGGATTTCTGCTCATGGTGCCATTCATTTTGATTTCGAAATGCTTATTTACGGGATTTAACAACTATATGTGCCTTGAAACGATCGCCTTCCACTTGAGTAGTCTTCCGTTTGAACAATATTTATCGTACAACCTATGTTCCATCAAAACGTATAGGTATCTGCTCTTTATATTGGGTGAACCTTATTTATCTGCAACCTTGTCTAATTTATCATGTATACCTATCAGCGCCAATTGCCCTATTTTACAACTTCCAGCTCATTTAAAATGATATTTTCGACTTTGCTTCCTCTAATTTTATGAGTATGGTTCCATGCAAATATTGCATACTGTACGTTTTTAGTTACTAAGTTTCTTAAAAGTTTTCAGTATACTTTTCATAGAGGATCTTGTGGACGGCTGGGCAGCGGTGAAGTTTGGTCTCGCATAAAGTTATTAGTGCTACACTTATAAATGCTGCTATGTTGTTATGTAAATTTATGCCGGTGCAATTAAGCAGAGGTCTAACCCAGTCTACACATTAGTTTCGAGAATGAATCTCACCTTTAGTGACGTGGTTTAATAATTTTGTATAATTTATTTTCTATCTCTGATGTTCAAGATAACACGAGTACATTGTTTATTAGCGACTAAAAAAATATTGCCGGCTGCATGTGATAGAAACATCCTGCACTATTGATACGATTGCCGAGTTGTTCTAAGTTTTCGGCGAATAACTTGAGCAGCTCATGAATCTTGATGAGGTCTGATTTTGGCATCTGATGATGCACTATCATGAATTATTTCAGTGTTATTTCGTGTGCGGTGTAATGAGTCTCATCCCTGCAAGATTATTTTAGTTGCCGATAGTTTCCCAGCAGGTCTTTCTAAGCATGACAATATAATTTTAAAGGATACCAAATCGTATCGCTGTTCGTGTGAGATTTTATTGCTGTAGTATTTCTGTAAAATAAATCAAATTTTAATCAGAAAAGATTAAGGAAAGAAATATTAGTTTTCAGTACATTCTGAAAAGATGAATTTCTGTCACAAATATGTTTTAGGGACACTAACCTATTCGTAACCTCGAGCCTGTTTGCCCGTTTCTTGTGGATGTTGTGTAGCCGGCACGGTGAACTTGCGGTAATCAGGGTCGTAGCTAATAGTCTTGCAGAGGATCATCAATATTTCTTCATAGTTGTTGTATCTCTCACATTTTTAAAGTGAAATGTGGCTAGGCAATCTAAATGTATTGAGGTATGCGAACGCTTAAGTCTCTTACTCTTGTGCTGTGAGAAAAATTCTGATATTTGGGAACATTTGTGCTCGATGGAAACGGGCTCTTGGTGAGCAGGTGGATAAAACTGCTTAAGAATGAATAATGATTACTGTTGTTGATTTGGTTGAACGTCCTTTCTGAGAAGCAGTCTGGATTTGGCGCGCAGCTCAGCTCCCTTGACGTTCGATCGCTCTTCCGCATGCAATGACTGATATTATTTTGTACATTTATGCTCATATTCTGTATTTTAGAAAAAATATATATTGATGCATTTTATCTTTGTTTCACCTAATTTTCAAAATATATTGTGACTGTTTTCATGGGTTCTCAATTTCAGTCTCCAAGCAATCCGTCAGAAGTAGGGAAATACTTCTAATCTGGTAAAAAAAATGTTTTACTAACTGTGAATCGTGCTTTAGAACCGATCTGGCGCAGGATAAATAGCAAGCTACATCATGCAAAGTATTTTTAACCCTTTCGTGGGCAAGCATACAAATAGGAAGAAATTAAAATTTCTGAATGCAGTAAAAAAAAAGCATTAACTATCCGACATAATTAATAAGATGAATTTTCAAAAATTTTGCGTTTTGTAGAAGCAAATCGCAGGTGAAAATTCTCATTAAATAAGTGCACTACGCTAAAAAAAGGGTTAAATAAAATAAACTCAGAATTTCTAATACAAGTAATAAGTATCTAGCCTCAATTTGCTTCTATTTCATCAAGTTACTTAAATATGCTGAATGGATATTGCTACTAATATCTTTTATAAAAATGTGGAAAGAGCGTTAGTTTCATCGTCCTTATTTAAACTTTTATTTACATAGGTACTCATATTTTAATTCTTGGGCATGATAGCAGATGATGCTATGTATGGAACGATGATCAGATATAGTTTGCGATTTGCTGAGGCATTGAACGTTGCCTCAAACTCTAGCCGAGGTCGTGATGGGCCCGCTAAAGGGTTAAACTAACTCAAGCACGGAAGGACTGGGTTAAGATGATTACGTCACATATGCCCATTCTATAATCACAAACTGACAAAAAAATATGTCCAGAACTAACTGCGTCCAGCGAAGGCTGCTGAAACTGCAATGGTAGCATGACAGCAACTCGGAGATTCAGTTGACGGCTGGAATGAGACGTGTGTGGTTGTACGTTATTAACGCACTCGATGTTTGCAATCTGTGAAACTCGGCAGCAGAAGAGAAATCAATCCTTCAGTTTGATTTATATACGTTGTTCCTAATACAAAATTACATACATAATTAGGAACTGCGAAGGTTTATGAAAAACATACATTCAAGCAAGTGGAAGATTTTCTGATGACAAAGTTAATTTAACCTCCTGGCTGGTATATGAATATTTTAAAAAAATTACCTAATTATTATCAACTATGCATATTCGAATAAAGATCCTGATTTGATCTTTTTCTACGAATAGTTACGTTTACTCAAGTTTTTCTGGGATATGTGCATGGGTGTCTTCAAAAGTTCAAATTCAAAACAGCTCAAGCGAATACCTACCTTTTATGTATATGAAGGAAGCGGCCAAGCCGGCCAATCATAATAAATGTGCATTTTCCAATCATATATTATAGTTTTTGTTACTGATCAGAATGAACACTACTACCGAGTGTTACTATACTATATTACTACTAAATGATCGTTCTACCTTTACAGTTATACCGGTAGTCCGGTTACTCCGGTAGGTATATTGTTTCTGCATCGATGTCGTAGTGTGCCGTGTGGAATGAATAGGTAGGCTACACTGTTTTATCCATATGCAACGTGTGGTGTTTACGTATCTATCTTCATAAAGGGCTTGAATGAAATTTGGTTTTTGAGATTATTAACTAATTATAGGTAAGGATTACCAACTAAATTCTAAATCCAAATTGTATTTAATAGAAATAAAACAATTTAAATACAATAATATAGTCCTATAGGCTATAGCTTTGTGATGAAGACAAGGTACAAAAGTACGAGAATAATCGATTGGCCACACCAGGAAAATTCTTCAGCGCCGACATTACAATGATATAATATGATATGGTCTATTACGAATGTGACAAGAAATTAGCGCAAACGAGCTGCACCTAAACTGGACTTAAGGATTCTGACGTGCTGACATTTGATGTCATGGCCGGCGGTAGCATACCTTCCAAGCGACTTCGACTGATTAATAAGGTGAAATTCGCAGAATTACAAAGAATTCTGAGCATATAAATTTATTCATTTAGCGTTAGTTTTATCAGTCTCAAGGTTGCATGATACATTTAAAAATATTTTTATACGTTTTCCGCTCAATTATAGGCACTCTTTGTGCAGATGAAGCAAGTGTATACAGTGGGGGGAAATACCTAAATANATTTCTTTTGATAGTATTTTTGAATACTATGCGTCTCTATACATAATTTAAATCACTTTTCCTGTTAAGTTTGTGTACTTACATTAAAATACGATTTTTCAAGTGTACGAATATTTATTTCCCCCCACTGTAACTATCACGAACACGTGCTCTTATGTCTACTTATGCAGGATGCAGCAACAGCAGTGCAGTGGAGCGAAAGAAGCTGCTGCGATGTGCCGCAGTAGCTTTAGGCTCTAGGACGCCTAAAGCTCCACTGCAGTCGCCGCTGAAACTACTTGTGCAGGTTTTCTAACTCGATAACCACTGTACTACACTTATGTTCACAGCACCGTCTCCCCCTGACATTTGAGCTCTGAGTCACAGTTTGTGTCTTTGCCTTATTATTTATTCTGGGTGTGATTGTATCGTTTATTAATCCTCTGATCTGGAATTTTGTATCTAGTCTCGATCTTGATTTATGTAAAAAATCCAACTCGAATAAATCAGGAATGATTGCTTCTGTTTCATGCTTATGAGGACATTGCATCAGAGATGCCACGACTGCTACAGTTAATTAATGGCTGTGTTGCAGAGATGCCACGACTGTGCTTCAGTTAATTAATGGCTGTGTTACAGAGATGCCACGACTGTGCTTCAGTTAATTAATGGCTGTGTTGCAGAGTCCCGACTTCCGACTTAAAAGACAACTGGCAATTCAAGAACAAGACCTGAAGCGCCTCTACCAGGAGGTCACCGACCTCATGGTAGAGAAGCAGGAGTGGCAAGCTCAACGGGGAATTTACGAAAGGAAAACTGCCCGTTCAGGTTTGTGAGATCATTCCTTTGCTCAAACGCTAAATTTAAAAGTTTGGAAAATTTTAGGAAAAATGCTCCCACATCCATAAGAATTCGAAATTCAAAATGAAATACTTAAAAAAACTATATAGTTCATTATTTAACTTCGAAACTCAAGGAGGCTGCAGTATTAGGAGTACATGTACATCAATTCTTTGTTTTGGTTTGTAAATACTTTTTTTTTTCTCAGTGCGAGAACTACAGAAATTGCGGCAGCAGTTGGAAGAGGTGGAAAGAGAGAATGAAATCGCGGCACAATCTGCAGCTGATCAGGTATTGGATGTTGCATGCTGTATTAAATGTTGAATGTTGTATTGAATGTTGAATGTTGCAGTGACAATGTTGCACTGAATGTTGCTGTAGGGTATGTGACACGGTTGCATTAACTGGTAATCAGTCTAGCTTTATTTCATAAGTTTCGTAAGCCACTTCATATTTCATAAGCCACAACACTGGAATTTTGGAAATTTGATGGTGAAGGCAGCGAGAGCTAATGCTAATTTCTCATTATATTTGCTTTTAGCTGATATTTATTCTGCAGTAGAATTACTAGAGACTCGCATTCTTGTAGCAGGCGAGAACATGGCAGAAGCTGTAGTGGACCTGCTGCTGCAGGAGACCAAAGTAGAGCTCATGCAAACAAGAGCTCACGTGACTAAATTGCAGTCCAAACTGCTCCATTCGGAGAAGACCCGCTTTGACTTGGTCCATGGACACGCGCTTGTTCTACGGCAACACGAACACGAACGGCGCCAGGTCGAAGTTCAACACACCGTTGCAGCCGGCACTGGGAGGAAACTTTAAGACAGTGACGATGGTCAACGTACGTCAATGGCAACGATGGCTTAATACAAATAAACATCACTTAAATTATCTTCGTTCTATTCTTTATCCTTGAAATGTGAAAGGTCGGAGTAGGATTTTTCTAGATTATACGAGTAATCCATTCAGCATCGGGTTGAGCGCTGAAGTGTTTTCAAGTATATTTATCTAATGGCTGTTATGCTACCTGGAACCTCACTTTATGTGGAGCATTGTAGATGCCAGAGAGATCGCTTCTTCCCAATACTGAATTAGCCAGCTGGTGGAAATGTCTATGACCGCGACACGTCGGAAATTTAGTAAACAGTTTCGTACCCTATGAAAGAATGCCCTCGATGTCGTTGCTACAACTTCTCGTAAATGAGGTCCCGCCATTGTAGACTACACACAATCACTTAGTCACTCTACAATACGAGCTGCTTTCGATGCACATGTAGCTGAACTACGTGAGCACGATTTGCGCGACAAGCTCAGTAAGTAAAAGTTCAAATTATTCCTGCGAGCTGTTGCGATTGTACCGTCGACATCTTCACCGAAATATGGCATTTTTCACTCTTATGATGATCAAGTTTTAGGTCGCCTAAATTGAATAACTTCACACTGGAATTGGGACCTGGTTTTCCTAGCCTGATGTACGTAGTAGACCCGCCGCTGACACCAATTTAGCTAAGCGAGACTATGCTGACAGTGGGAGACTATATGCTATGACAGTGGGCCCCATACAGCATAGAGTCCGACTCGCGAGTCTAGCCCGGCTAACCTCAAAAACAAAAACCCCCCAAACATGGCGCCAAACGAGCCGAGGTGTGCAAAAAAAGGCGAGCCGAGCCAGGGCTTCCACTGCTTGCTGTGGGGCTCGGCTCGAGTTCAGTTGCTATGCAGACGTCAATCTGAGAGGACGTATGCAGCGATGGCGGACTCCAGGCTATTCATGAGCCCCAACTTTTTAACAAAAACAAAGTTCATAGAAGACTACCGCAAACTGCCGTGCCTTTGGAAAGTTTGTTGCTCAGAATATTCCAACATATCAAAAAGAGAAAAGGCATGGAATATCACGTTGGAATTACGCGGAAAAAGTAGTAAATGCAGACCTTAAATTTGTTAAGATAAAAGTGGATAATATTCGAGCATCTTTCAGGAAATAATTGAGAAGGATTCGCGAGAGCACGCGATGTGATGCGTCATCAGATGATACGTACACCCCAACATTGTGGTGATATGGTGGAGAACTTTAGGTCTTCGTGCGACCGTCCGGTGGCTAAAAAACGTAGAGTAGCAATTAGCCGTTCCTCTGCTGTTATAGCTTTCCGAAGTACAGTGTCTCGTTTAGCTAGGTATGAAGGGTTTGACTTTGTCCAATAGGACATTGAAGTTTTCTGCAGACATCCTTAGTTTAGATAGTCGTTTCGGCTATCGTCGCGAATGAAATTTAGCAAATTTATATGGCTGAATCTTTGTCGATTGACAAGCCATTCTTTCGACCACATAGATCGTTTCCTCCGCTGCTTTTTCACTCCCCCGAGTTCACTCAAAACGATGGCAGCAGCGGCAACTTGCCTCGGATGACTCATCTTCACGGCTGGACGCTGCGAGCAAAGTACGTAGGTGTATGGAGAAATACCGCCAGATCAGATCCGATAGTCTGAATCAGCTAGCCGGACTCGCGAGTTAGATACGCTAGTGTATGGGGCGCTTAAAGGTGCCGAACTCTATAGTCTTGCACAAAAGGTACAGTCTCGTGAGGAATCGTCAATTTATAAATTGAATTGGCTTCTAACAGATAACGGAGCAAAGTTAAGGAGTTACAGCCTCCAAGCTGTCTGAAATTCATGATCGCAGCGCTCCAGGTTTGCTTATACAAGCCTTTAGTACAGTTTTATCGTTTTTGTTGCTTCCCCTAAAGTCTAAACGCTTTTCTAATACTAACTATAGGCTTATATTAACAGCTTCGACCCAGGTTTTTACGCTTCTCTTGACGCTTTGAATCATTCGCAGTTAAAACCATAAGTTTTCTTAATGTAGCACTCCCATATAATCTGATCAATGTAGCTCTCGGTGGACATTCTTAATGGGAACTGTACGGGCTGCGCTGCCATAGCAGTAATGTCCCGTCAACGCAATGGTGAACTAGACTGACTGCGAAACACAGGATGGATGTCGTCTACAACACACCGTGGCCTGAAGTAGATACGGGATGGCTGTTTCATACAGCGCAACGTAACCTGAAGATACGTGATGCAGTAGATACGGAATGGCTGTTTTTTTATAGAACAACGTTGCCTGTAGTAGATACGGGATCAAAATGTTCCCGATGTCAACTCAATGGAAGAAATTTGCAGCCAAATATGCTTCATGATGCGATCCATTTTTTCTTCACAATTCTGAGATATTTTATTGGATAACTACCATTGAAATACTCCTGATGAAGCGGGTGCAATCGCCAGATAATATGAAAAGGAGTTTTCGAATCTACCCTGTCCTAAAACCATTCGAATATAACGTAAGTTTTTGGAGACTATTGCTTACACCTAGGGCTAAGGTGCTTAAAATTTAAAGGAGACGGGATATATTATACACCAACGGCTCCGTTAATTCGAATTTCGCAAACGTAAATATGCTTGGTGTTGGTGGCTCGTAGCGTCGGTAGTACTAGTAGCTTACGACGATCTATACTGGTTAGCTTAGCTGTGCTGTCTGGAGTGTGCTAGAAAGATGAAGCTGGCATTAATCTTCCAGTTCAGATTAGAAGAAATGTAGAAGGTTGACCTCGTCGAAATAAAATTTAATATTTGCATACGAATTTACAAAAAAATCGGTTTTCCGATGCCGACCGCCAAAAATGGATTTCAGATTCGTAATCTACACCCCAAAAAACATATAATTAAAAAAAAAACCCTTTTTTTGGATGTAGTTAATCTGCAATAATACCCGAATTTACTATTTGATTTCGAATTTAATTTAAATAATTGCGGATTGTAACTGGTGACATTTTCAACCACGAATAAGGTAGTTAAATCGTAATCGGTCGGGACCAAATTAAAAATGTATATATATGTTGAAATTAGGTTTTTGCCAGCATCGATACATTTTTTGTCCACTTTGACTTTAATTGGTTCACTAAACGCTCAGCCTTAGCAGGTTTCCCTCACACATAAATTTTTCAAATTGCGACTGATCTAGAATTGATTGACAACGAAGCTATTTATTTACTGTACACTCCTGCTGTCATCAGAATTATTTTAGTTCGCTCCGTTAACGCAATTAAACGCATAGATACACGAAACGGTATACTGTATAGATTCACCGTTCTATTTCTACATCTGGGTCAATTGGGGAAACTACACCATATTGATATTTGCCTTGTGATGGTAGTGCATATGTCACATTCCAGGTTCCTATTTTTTCAAGTTGAGGAAGAAATTTATATGATCTTTATCCATTGTTTCAAGTTCAATAGCAAGAAGTTGTCGTTCCATATTCACCCGAACATCGAATATGCCTGTCTTATTGTAGGGTGAACTTTGAAGTTTCAAGTACATATCTTACAGAGTTTGGCAGGAGATGTCAGGATCTTGCGGTCTTCACTAGCATCATTGCGTCGTTGGCAGCGACGGAGGGCAGACGTGATTCAGTGAATGGTGAAGTTTAAAAAGACTGATAGAAAGTCAATACAATCGTGATGTTCACCCAAGGTCTCATCCGTCTTAAGTTAACATTTAACAGAGATGTTTGTTAACAGTTTCGATTTATTAAAATAATTCTGGTCACACTGGTGCTTTCACGACAATTGTTTTCCATGAAGAAAATCTCATACTAAACAGAATTTTTGATGGCAGTAATCATCAAATAGAATCTTCATAGTTGTCACGTGGTCTTTCAGCTGGTGTTGTGTCGCAGTCGCGTAGGGGTGTGTACGAGTACATAAATTAGAATTACGTCTAAAACTTTACATAATTAACTTTAGCATGAGTAAATGTCGTACGTACAGTTATTATCAACAAAAATCGCCCAGAGATAAATGTCATGATCTAGTTTTAGAAGTGATCGTTGGAATAGATGATGTACCTAGAGCCTAGACTCTAGAGGCGTAGACTAGAGGGTACATATTATGATGATATTTTTATAAGCATTGGATTGTAGGTATTTGTAGAATCCACATTCACGAGCGTTCGTACTAACATAAAAGTTTCTCTGAACTGTATTCGAGAGAAGATATTTATTTGCATGATGGTACTGATAGTAATTTAATATGGAGTGAACTATCTTGGGAGAATCGCATAGTTCAATCATGGGGCAACGGTACAGCAACGACTTGAAGCTGTGCGGGAACTATTGATCGCTAATTTCGTGTTCGACGCGAGCGTGTGCATGACGAACGTTCAGGAGAAGTAACTTTTTGTGTACGTAAGAAGATCCCTGCCAATGATTGCTGTCATTTATAATACCTGCCGCTACGTAACTATGAGATATGTACGCTGACTTTTCAGTTGTTTGGCAAGGAAATAATCACAGGGAACTAGAGTGTAAAATATTAGTGCCTAAGTTTTCAGACTTGCATAGATAATTGATACAATGTTTCTACAGGTGAACATCGTGATATCTAAGGTGAACATCGTAACTAACAATAAAATTTAATATTTTTATCGTTTTAAAATAGGTTATAAGACCATTGAAGAGCAGAAAACAAACACACACCTACCTGACATAAGAATTGTCATTTTGTTACCCGTTTTCCCCTCGAGAATGCGATAAGAGATTACGTAATTATATAGACTGCGTTTTTTCTACAATGGGTGAGTAAATGATTGAAACTTCCACGAATATAATTGACACCTATTGTTATTGTTGGCTAGTAACCGTTACCTATTGTTAATGTTAGATAGTTAAAGTTGAAACTTGTTCATCGTTTACTAATGAGCGGAGGTTTAAAAGCTAAGAATCTATTATAACATAATAACTGCAGGATAATTTAAAATAAGATTATGTTAAAATTAAATCTACTATAAGAACATTTCCGTATCATCTCGGTGAGGTTTTTTTTATGCGACGCATTAATCGTAGTTGTGGTACATTAATTATGCCAACAAACATTAGTTCATTGCAAGATCTAGTAATATCAATAACGCTGTCAGCGTTGATTTGGCCGTGTCGCCGATTATAAACAACGCAAAATTTACACAGCTTGTTGCGATCTCGAACACGCCATTCACTGCACCAATTGTGCAATGCTTAACCGCCCGGCTTACTCGCCGATTCTGACCAGAACTGTCGCCGGTAGCTGGGATCTAACCCACAACTCGCTGCTCCAACCTTGTACTCTCAATTGTAACCACTGGGCCACCCTGCCCAGCTTGTATAGAAATTCAAGAATCATCCCAACGTTTTCCATTCTCGCTCAGCTTGTTCTGACGTACGATGGTCAACATTGTTAAATTTTTAATGTGTCTTGAGATGCGGGCATCAGATTTTATTCCAAAGGAGATTATTTTTCACCTGCCTTTTCAATGATACGAAAATAAATGTATTTTAAATCAGAAAAAGTTCTGCGATAGGTACAATATTAGTTATATTTTATCGAGCAAATATATTCAGACAGACTGCAAAACGCTGGAGATAAATAATAGATTCTGGCGGACCATTTTCATCGTCACACGCAAGCGGCAATTGTTGCAAGCAAAATTGAGATCCGAGTATGATATGGAATCAGTTTTTTATCTGCTCCTAGATCTGCTAAAAATACTAATGATTGTTAGAAAAGTACCCGTGTAAAAGTGTTACCACTTATATGAATTTGTAGAAGTACCAATATCAATACCTAATAAAGTTTATCGCGGTACGCAATTTATAATCATGCACATAAATTTCGCTATTTATTTCGTTCTTGTAAGTTCCAAGATGCCCATTTTGAACAGAAGAGCACGAGTGACCGCCTTGTTGGGTTTGGGCGAACTAAAATGCAGTGATCATTTTAGCTTAATTCTAGACGAAATACTTGCATTAAAAACACGTATTCATTTGAATGATCACAGTTCAGTCAATTTATTTATCACGTACTAAACGAACAAAATCCTGAATTGATCTCCTCACTCGAAGATTCTAGCAGTGATTCAAGGCTATGATCGTCTCGGCTGAAGCCAAGGTAGTCATAAAAAAATCCAGTACCATGATACGCTTAGACCGTGTGTGTTTTGTGGTCGTCTTGGCTGAAGAGTTACAAAAATCCAATCCCATGTCTCGCGGCAGGTCGTGTGTGTGTCGTAATCGTGATCGTGATCGTCGTGGTTGCCTGCGTCATCGGCGGGGCAGTGGGCATCTTTGCGGCCCTCAGGGACAAAATTTGGCCATACCCACTACACGCGAACTGCCAGGTGGACTGGTGAGTAAAGACGACAAAAGACTAGTGCCGTGAACGAAGTGCCGGTCAATTAGAATAGAGGAAAAAAGGTTCAGTCTTGTCACAAGCTCCTCAGTGGCGCTCTTCCACAAACTTTTCGGTCTGTACATAGACTGCAAAAAACCTTTCAGTTGAACAAGACCTTGAGACGCCATCGCCTGATGATAAACTTGTCTTTGTTGGCAACGCTGTTCCATTGAAGGTCATAGCAATAACCGCTAATCATGCTCTGTCTTTTCGTAGCATGTGAACTAAAAATAATTTTACTTCAATGACAGTTTGCTTACTTTTATTAGTTCTGTTCTTTTGATACAATACCACTCTTATCGTCATGAAATTACTTGAAAAAATTCATCAAAACTTTCCAGTCTCACTCACTTCTCACGGCTAATCTGTTGGTAATGATTTGCTTAGGACGTTCGGGAAGCCGTGTTCTGAGGTGGAGACGCTGCTGGTGCAGCAGCTGCAGCAGTGGAGTGAAGAGGTCTGCGACGCGCCCAAAGATCACTGCGGCTACAACTTTCTGGGCGTGCGGGACGGGCTCATCAGCGGCGCGCACTTCACCCCGAGCCCGCGCTTCCGGGACACCATAAGCTTCAACCTTACGACCTCGGCTGATGGCTGTAATGTCAGGGTGAGTCAAGTCATCTTTTGAGTCAAGATCTCATGGCATATTTCGGAAAACAGCATTTATATAGCAAATAAAGCAATATAATCTTATTCGTTCATGCAAGGCAGTGTTTCTAGTTCGTTCTCGCAATTTTCACGGCAGGGTAAGAGCAGGTCGGACGTGTGGTACGCCATTAACGACTTCGGCGTCAACTACTGCAACATCAAAGACCTGGTAGTGGGCGCTCGACTTGCTTCCAACGACCCCAAGCACACAGAAAAATCCCAACCAAATATTTGCACGCAATACCCAAACTCGAACTGCACCTGGTATAACTGAGCATTTTATACACGATTAGAAGGCTTTCCTGTCATCCCCATGAAATGAAGACCACAAGAATTTTCAATAAAGGTGACTTATTCTCCATTACCAGACAATAAAAAGTGTATAACAGCGTAAAAAATATATAGTCGTGTTTCTGTTAGCATGCATATATAAAATTATTTCAGATTATTCATAATTCTAACTGAAGTAAGTCAACACAAAATTGAATAAGTATCTACGGTACATTTTACCGGTAAGGTAAAGAGTAGCAAAAACTAGTCTTCTCTTGTAAAAGCATGAATGGTTGTGTACCCGTAACTTATAAAATGGCTATATGTTGTGTAACGCAGATTGGAATGCGAAAAATTAACTTGAATGTGATCCAAAGATTTGGAGTACGATTTACTTTAACCCATCAATAGTAACAGGATTCTGGAAATACTTAGACTTCTAAAGTACTAAACTGACTTAGAAAGTAAGATTTTCATGTGCCACCGCAACTACAAGGCGCCGAATGTCGTAAACAGTCGTCATGTGCTGCCAATGAGGCCGAGCGACCTGAAGGAAGCGAAGCTCATATGCATCTTGAGGATCAGTGACACACTTCATGAGGCATTCTTAAATATCAGTGTCACTAAACTCGCCACAGCACTCTTGTAGCAGGAACGATTAACTTTAATGGAAACGATTAATTTTACTGAAAGAAGTGAGCCACAACATTCATGCGGAGATCAAAACAACTAATAAATACCATGTTTTAATGGAACACTACAAATCGCAGTTCAGACCTGTATTTTACAGTTTTGGACAAGTGACGAGTTAAGAGCAGTGTCTTCTGCGTGGCGACTCGTGTGTCACTGACGTTTGAAGGCATCGGAGTAATTTGACGTACCCATGTCTAAAAAAACTCCTTACGCTCATTCGAAGTAAATCACAATACTTTTTTAAAATTTGCTGTTATTTTTTCGGATGATCCAAATTTCCATGTACCTACAATGAAATAAATATTTTCTCCCTCAGAATTTGCAATATCCTTCCAACACCTCGAGTGTTCACTGTTCTTTACATTGTGACGAATCTCGACTAATCGAACCTGGCTTGTAAGTTATATCATGAGAGGGATAAATTGCACACAATGCAGGGCACAAATTGTACGCAACGATTAGAATTTGAAAAATAATTCAATAGATAAGTCTTGAGCTCCACAAAGACTAATGCGATTTGTCAGCAACAATAAAGATGGTTTCTTAATAGACCTGCATGTGAGCATCTTTTTTTTTTCTTTAATTGAAATTTATGGGAGCCTCTGAAGACTGGTTCAATGCGGCCCCACGTCAGAACAGTTGAAGGAACTTGGCTGAATTATGGTTTCTTGTACAAAATCGGGTGTCTTGAAAAAAAACCTCAAGATTTCTCAATGGCTGATGGGCTACAGAACGGGGCCACCAAAGTGGAGACCACACCGGGGCGGAGAGCACCATTCCAGGGCAGAAAGCCCCACTCCAGGGCAGATAGCCCCACTCCAGGGCAGATAGCCCCACTCCAGGGCAGAATTCGAGAAAGATAGTTCTAGAAAGGATGACGTAGCAGCCGGCCGAAGCCGGCTACTGTCACGGGAGCTCAGCACAAGGAACCTCTTGCCTCAACAGTTAGAACAGAACTCCCATGTGAGCATCCAACATCAGCACGTAATAGATCTGCATATTTTTTCCGGTAAGCAAGACTTCTTGATGCTCGGAACATAACTGGTTTCCGGTATACTGGTACATTCTACGGCAACATTCAGTTTTGAAACGCATTTCAATGTCATCTCAGCACCAAGCTGTGTATTCCTCCAGAACACCAGCTTTGCTTAGATTGAACTTCTTCAGCCACCAAATGAATTATGATATATTTCATAAAATTTGTACAACTCTCAGTGCTGTTATGAGACTCAGAATATCTGTAATATATTTTGCAATACATATGTCCACATTAATCAACCCGTTCGTGGCTCCACATGTCAAGCGGTCATATTAAGCGCCACCTGACTGAATATATTATTAGTTCTACCTGAACCTGAGGACAGGGATTCGTTGACCCAAGTGCGTGAGAGATAAGTGAGACACCATCTGTCGAGGGAACTTTTCTTGATATGGAGTGGTAATACATGAGAGTTACATTAGCGATACAAACATGTATAGGCTAGGACGTCGACCGTTAGATCGGAGTAACTCTAACGAATGTTACAAGGCGGTGTGCTAGTTAAGTTAGGGGAGCCTTACTAAGGCTGCCAGCCCTGTTTTAGCATCATGACTTCAGCCCACTACTGTGGTCATGATCGCGTGGTGTTCCGTCATGTTATCCATGCTGATTCAGGTCTAGTACTTTTCCATCAATCTCTACCACGTCTAGTGAATATTACGTCTCAATTACAGATGATCTAATTAAAAAATATAATTATAATGAATAGAATGATCAACACCGAATACATATATATAAATATTTTTCTATGCGATGCACGACCAGCCAATTAAGCAATCCGAATCGCTCTGGCAGAACAGCATTTGGCGCGCGTCACAATGAGCGTCATCGTCCTTATTGAATATTGAACATATAGAAGAATTTCAGAGATGGAAGTTCCGATCCAAGTTCTGAAATTCTGAATTCATGCCGATTTAGTTTACGCTCACATGATACAATTTGAGACGCGAAAACCCTTAACTAGCATTGAAACAAAGAATAAAAATATAAAAATTTATATGCATCATACGACAATAAAGCCCTCTAGATCATCAATGTGATGTCGTTACCTAACATATATTTGAAGACAAAAAATTTGAGATCACAAGGAACGCTTCACAAAACTGATGCTAAGCAGCGGTGCATGGGATAACATACATTGCTAGTCAACTACGCTCAATCCAAATCCACCAAAAGTTTTTTTGAAAAACTACCAACTTCACTAAGCCATTGACCGGCAGTTAACGTAAGTAATTTAATTGAGCAATAAAATTTAGGCTTCGGATTAATATATTATAATGAATAGATAAAATTATGCTACGAATGGAAAAATAAAAAGCAATAAATAGAAAGGTATGATTTTCAAGCTTCACAAAGAAAACTCGCTGGTGTTATGACAGATTCTTGAAAATCAATTAGTGTGACAACAGCGTTGGCTTGCCTTTATGGTGTAATAAACAAGAGGCAGATATTGCAAGAAGCAAAATATTCATGGCTAGAACAGCAATATGCGGGGAGACAACATTGAGAACATCTCTTCTAACACACATAAATCTCAGTGTCAAGGTTCACAAACCAATGGCATTAGATAACTGACTGCAGTGAGGTTCCAAAGTCAAAACAAAATTCGACTGAATTTTGTGAATTCGTATATATTCACGTGGACTTTACAATCAAACGGCAAATATATAGATCATTCACTTGAGGTATAACGAGCTACAACAACGATATTGATGATTTACTTGCACATTCAGAGCCAAATTATGACATTGATCATTCAGCGAGACATGCAAAATCCGGCGAGCAAGCGGTTTAGAGGCGCCAAGGATGGTCGCATTCCTACCTAACCCGGCATGTGTCAGCACATCCAGTCAATTAGAACCTGGCATATCGCTTGAGGACGCAAAAGCCAAGCTATACCTTTTTTGTATTTCCTTGCACACATTCGTCCACCAATTCGTTCAGTAAAATTTAGTTTCAAATAAATAATCATGTAAGACATACTCATGATTTTCTAAACAAATCTAGCCAATACCTAGATCCTAGAACAACAACAACGATGGTCACACCTCTAAGAAGGCTGTACGTAAGCCCAGCAATACAGAGGGAACAGAAAGGGCAGAGGAAGCAATTTTTAAGAACTCTTATGTTCCAGCAAGAGGAGGGGGGAAGGGGAGACCAGTGATATCCGTGGTCAACACCAAAAGGGGGATGGGAATGATGGCTGTTGTCACAACCGAAACTATGAGTGGGGTTATGAAGTGATAGCCGCGGTCACGATCGAAGCAAAGCCTAGTGTTAGGTTAGCAAAGCCGTGCAGTAAGATGTGAGCGTGTGCAAGAGCGGTGGTGGCCGTGCCCTTATGAAGATCCAGTGTCCGGTCGAGCTGTAGGAGGTGGAGGGAAAGACGGTGGAGGTCTGGTAGTGGCCATGCTGGACACGTCGAGCGACGGTTTGCGGCCCAAGGCGGAGAACGGGGCGGCCGTAGCACCACAATCCACACTGAACGACCTGCCGCCACCTCTGCCCAAAAACAATGAAATATAGAACTGCCTTTTCTCAAACTGATGAGTCTGATTAGTTACTTTTAGCTTTAGGTGAAATGATTGAAAAGTACCATAATTACAAACAAGCCCCCAACCTAAACGACAGGTTAGTTTTCATATCTATGTAATATTAATCCTAGCGGAGATTTATGTAGGAGAAAGTTAAAATTGTCTTACTGTTTCAACGATATTCGAATATCATCACTCGTGCAAGCAAACTTCATCATTATCTCCGAGATTTGCCGAATGTACCTGTAATTACACCACCAATAGGCCTAAAAATAAGCATGGGTGATCTCAATTTTTTACATTGTTAGAATATCAGTCGGAATGAGGTCAGAACAGTTGCTGGACATAGAATTCTAACGTCACCGCACGTTCCATAAAGTATAGGGGTAATACAGAGTAACGACATGAAGGCTGAAATAAAGATCAACAAGTATCATTGAGGGTTGACGGCACAATATATTCTATAGATTAACAAGGTAGGCGGTAATACAGAGTAGGCATTAAGAACCAACGAGTGACAGCTAAGTCACATGTTATAAAATAGAGCACCTGGCGCCCGAAGGGTGTGGCATGCCGGGAGCTGACGTAAGGCTTGAGGGAGGTTGGTGTGGACGAGATGAGGCTTCAGAGATGGACAGAATTGAGCCAAAGAGCACATGCTGTACCACCGGAAACTTGTGCAGCACCTGACATGTCATTTAGTGAGAATCACTGCAGCCGCCGCAAGTATCTAATCATAGTAACCATGAATGCCGATTTATTTAATGATTCTACATAAAAATGAATCTATTGAAGTGAAGTATGTTTACTATTATTATTATTGAGAGAATATTCTACAATGAAAGAAACTACTGTATTGCTAATGCACCTGGATACAATTAATTTTTTAATGCATTATCGTGGTAGATTTGACAAAAAAAAACACTTGAAATGCAACTGTTGTTAATTAGTAGAGTAATGGCTTCTAGGAATAAGGATGAAAAATGCTTCCTTCAATAGCACTGAGAAGTAGACTTACCTCAGCTTTGTACATCTTGATGAGCCCCTGGTTTATCTTGGACCATGACTGAACCCCGCTGATGTTCCACAGCTGGTTGCTGTGCTCGGCAAAAGGTCCGCTCTTTACCTATAACATTCAAAGCAACCGTCGGCATGAATGATATCATTAATAATTTAGCAATTTTGACCCAATTCAAGAAAAATTGAAAATCATATTGGAAACAAAGGGATAGAAATTTAATTTCCATCTTACCTACAAAAAAGTTAGATGATTTTTGACAGATATCAATTGTGCGAATTGCATGTTACATTCATATTTGCATGTGAGAAAAGATTTAACAGGCATGATCAAAATTCTAAATGCTAAATTTGGGTCACGTAATGCAGGGAAAAAGCTTGCTTCCGGATTACAATAGAGACAATAAACACTAAAATCTTTTTGTGCACCGAAAAATACTAAACTTCAATCTATTAAACATGAACAGTAAAATGTAATCAATACCTCAAGGATGAATTTAATACAAGCCAAGAATAAGTAGTCTTCTGCATTGTCTTCAACTACTTTCGGGTTTGTGAACATTTCAGGAGCAATTTTAGGATTCATAACAAGCTGTGATGAACCCCAAATGAAAGGAATAAATTGATAGTCATCGAGGCTCCACACTCCCTGACTGCCAGCAGGTTCCATCTTGTAAGTTGACTGCAGCTCGCGCACCAACTCCAAATATCTGCAGAGCAGGGAAAAACGTATGAACCATGGATGCTACAACATCAAAATTACAGTACATTTCTCACTGGGGAACCTTTCAGATTTTGGAACAATAGTCTAGAACACTTATTTGTCAATGGAATTTTGATTCAATAATTCGATTTTGCCAGTAACAGTTTGCCGTAAACATTTTCATTTAATTATTCTCATGGATAGAAATAACATTTTTTAAAAGGGTTATCGATTCCATTTTTAAAGAAATTAAGCAAATATTTCCCACTTATCCAATGACTACCTAGTTGAGATATGACTGATTCTGCAGCTGAGAAATGGTAGATATTAGGCAACTAATGGCCAGCTTTACTGGAGCACGTACAGTCACCTCTTGTTGTAGGCTACATATATGAACTCTTAAGTTCCATTTTGTATTATGAATTTTGTTCAAATATGAGAAGAAATTTTAAGAAACAAATCAAATAGAAATAATGGATTATTAAAATTAAAAATTATAACAACTATATCGATGACAGGGCATGAATAATATAGGTATAATAACAATGCAAAAAAGCAAATAAAATAAAGAAATAAGTGCTTTCATTTTATGATTGAAAAGAAGGGACAATTTTGATTGTTAATACCAACCTTTTAAAAACTTTTGTCACAGTTGCTTGAGAGTCTTTTTGTTGCAAGGCTCCAAGTTTAAACAAGCATGTTAAGAACATGATGAAAGCAAGTTCATGTCCGGTGCCATAATCTATTCGTGTGCTGTTGCCAAAACTTTCAACCAGGTATGTGCTGGCTTCACGACTGCCTGCCTCCAGTTCTGCTCCCACCACACTCTTCACAAGACCTTCAGCCTCCTGAAAGATTCCTCAAAGTTCATGACGATTCAATACAAATTGATTTCATATTTTCAGCCAGTTTACTGTTATCTCTAAAACAAGTGACTATCACAACATGTAGTAGCAGCAGGAGTTATAAATGATAATTAAAATTTATTACTACAATAAAATTTTTATACCTATCAAATATAGAAGTTTCAACAGTGAAAAAATTCCATATATTCAATTCTGTTATATGGAACAGCATGGAACTAATTTCTAGATTCAGGTCCTATGTAGAGCATGTTATATGTATGTAAAGTAAACTAATTGCATGTGGATTAATTAGTAACTGCATTTAATTTTTAGATTAGAGAAAAAAATAATTTTTGAAGCACATGATTTCAGAATTTCAATTAGTTTTTCTAAGAACAGAGTGTTAACTCACTTGTGAAAGTTTTGTATAGTATTCCCGAAATGCTTTATTGCCATATCGCTGAGGCTGGTCAACAGGAGGGAACTCATCCAACCAAGTGGCCATGGTATTGAGCATGACCAACAAGCGAGATATGACTGGAGACTCATGACACTCAGCACTGCAACTCTTGCTTCGAACACTTTCATTCAGGCTTGTCAGTAAGCCAAGTACATCCTAGAGACATTATAGAGTTGGCTTATGAATTTATTCATTTGATTCTTACATTGGGAACGATTTAAAATGAAAGCACAACATACATATTCAATGTAAAATACTGTGAAAATTCTAATAATGATATAGTACATGGAATGAACACGTTGTAATTAAATGTTAGTAGGTTGGCCTTTAAACCAATCATTCATTGTTTGGGATAGATAATCTTCAAGATTAATAATCCTGTTCACATTATAATACCACATTTGCAGCTTTCATAATAGCTCTCCAGCTGAAGTACAGTACCGGTAATTCAAGGTAGACATGCTCAAAACTGCATTCAAGTACCGTAATATGGTGTTTTTAAATATGAAGGGAATGGGATTATATGGTAATTCATGTAATAAATAATGCTAGAACAACTTTCACGCTAAGTTGAAATTAAATTCTTAAATCTTGCTTGTAATTGCATTGCCTCATCATTCTTAGAGATAAAAGAAATGGAAATTGATTTAGATAACAAAATTGAAAACTAACATCTTATGCCCAAGCTTATAATTTTATAGCAAAAGATGTATTATGGATTCATATCAACTTGAAACACATGTAATGACAAATAATCAAAAAATCTTTTTGAAAAAGTACATTCAATTTTTGATTACCAATATTACTTCCATTAAATAATATTAACTCTTAAAGAAACTCACTTGATATGCTTCAGATTTTTCCCATTTTTCCACATCAGGAGCAGTGAATACTTCACGTTTAGGCACACTAAATTCATGGATTCCTGAAAGAGAAACATAAATGAGAAGAGAAATGAGTTTCATACCAGATTTACCAGGTTTCATACATGTTGTTAAAGACTGTCATGAAATGGCAACAAAGTACTCCAGTCTCTAATTTTCAAACATACCTATTTCATATGCTACAACCTACAGGCATCAATGATTGTTAAAAATTCTTCTAAGCAGATTTACACACATATAAGAATTTGATTGGCCAAAGTATTTTCTCCAGAAATTATCATTTCAATGAAATTATATTTCTGGATGGTGTAACAATAAAATGTATCACTTAACCATATCAATGAGTAGTTATGTATATTTTATTTTACTGCATTACCAAGTAGCATGAATGACATCAATAGGTTCAGACCAGACAATGCCTCCTATAAATCTTGCTTCAATAACAATCAGCCTTATTTTGGCCCATATTACCTTAACACGTTGACTCCGATTGCTTCACCTTGTACTATTATTCTATTTTTTGTACCGTTTTTAAACACAGTTGCCAGACGGTCATTTTTTCTGGCTAAATTCTGCAATTTAGTTTTTCTCAATTTATGTTGGTCAGCTAAAATTTATGATAGTGGTACTTCCTATTTAAATTTTAAATACTGCAAAAAGAAAATAAATGGAATTTTTATTGCAAAACCTACAAATAAACTAATACCTATATATTGAGTTATTGGTCTTTTTTGTTCTCGGATTTGGCCAATTTTAGGCAACCTGAATTCTGTACCACTATGTCCTGGAGAAATACATTTTGTGGTACGCATATGTACCACTGCGGAGTCAACGTGTCAAAGGCCTATCATCAGGCATAGTATAATAGGCACATACAAGTAATGCCTGCTAAGATAATTTTGAGCACATTCATGCATTATTAGGCTCCTAGCTGACCTATTTTTAAAACATTATTATGGATTTTACCATCTAACAGATCATTACAACACTGATTGCAATCTCATAATCAGTAAACAAACTCCAAATATATTTTGCAGTACTTACCAATAGAAATAGCCATGGCTTCTTTAGGATTCAAATTTGTGCTTCAGTCATTTGATTTTGCTGCTAAAATCAATATTCAATTTCTGGGCTTTAATTTTATAATGCTAAGAAAATGCCAATTTGTGCATTATATTAAAATTTATGGTTTTAATGTTAATTTAGTTTTTCATAAAAAATAATTAGAGACTTTTTCTTGATGGAAATTACCTACTCTGATCTGTTAAGCAGGCTGTAGGGGTGTAGGTTACAGTATTTAATTGTTAACAAAAGCACATTACCAGGCCACAAGATTCCAAATATATTAACGATTCATCACATTTGTGCCACAAGATTTCAGAAACAAGCAGGAAAATTCCAATCCTGAATTTTAGACCAACTGGTTTGATTAGGATTTAGGACCATAAGACCCCTGATCCTTGCCTTGACTAAGTAGTGTTGCATTTCTGGAAATGCGATTATGTGGCCGTGATTTTTGTTTACAGGCAGCACTGCAGCAGGTACTTCACCACTTACCCCCACACTACACCCTGACCCAGGGTGCAGAGGGTGCAAGCAGCATTGCCAGTATATTTATTTTTAGCCCAAAGCATTGCCAGCCATTTACAAGATCAGTTGCCAGATAATTTTTATAAGAAAATGCTGCTTACAACTTTGATAGTATAACCCTTACTATCCACGCACTGCATCATCGCAACTAATTTCCAGGTAAGCTTCACTGCATCCATATCTATCCGATGTACTGGAAACCTTACTGTGTGCGCTTTCCGCTTGCGGTCATCCAGATTTGCAATAGGGTAAACGCGGTATATCCCGACATTAAGGACGCATCGAGAAATAAAAAACTTAAAAAAAATAACCATATGCGTTACTCGAGTTCTGTTTGCTTTACGTGACTCTCAAAACACCGCACTACGGACCAGCAACAATGAAACATCACAAAATGATGCCATATTTATTTAAAAGCCTATAGAATGCAAACCTACCAAATCCCTATATTCCGACGCTGTGTGTGACTAAATTCGACACGTTGTCAGACGAATTCCGGCCGTGATTCAAACTCTACTAATACGTAATTCCGACATCCTTGTGTTCGAATTCCGATCACTATGTGAGCTGTAATGGAATACGACACGGCTTTGAATTTTACGACACGGCTTTGAACACTATTGAATATTGAACACTACTTAATTAGGCTTTTAATTAACAGCTATTAAGCTTTTAATTAAGAAGATTTTAATTTTTGCACACAACTCGGAACGAGCTGTGTGTGTCCAATTCAAGTTGTGTCAGAATTAGTTTTTATGTGTCTAAATCTGTTTCTTAACTTTATCATCTACTAATTTATTTACGACGTGAAATCAGCAAGTACAAGTATACTTAAAGGATTCTTAATATATTCACAGACTTATTTAAAAGTCTCAAACCATAATATTCTTTCTACACAAATAGTTTATTAGGTACTATTTGGTAGAGCAAGGTCAACTGTCAACTTTGACACATTTTTCAATGATCTCACTAGACTCACTGAGTGGTGTGCACTGTCTTTCTTTGGCTCTCAACATTTTCCTGCCAGACAACCCAGACCTAGTGTTTTGGCAATAGTTTGGCGTGCAAAGGTATGACGTCACTATTTCAACCATCAACAAATGCGTGGAACTAAGACAAAGCTTTATATAAAGGAAAAACTAGAGAGGTCTCGGAATTAGGGTGAACGCGGTATATTCCGACATCGTAGGTAATTCCGTCACCTCTCCAGCTTTTCCTTTATATTAAGCTTTGTTTTAGTTCCATGTGTTTGTTGATGGTTGAAATGGTGACGTCATGCATTTGCAAGTCAAAATACTGCCAAAACACTAGGTCTTGGCCATCTAGTGGGAAAATATTGAGATCCAAAGAGAGACAATGCAGGCCACGTGGTGAGATCATCAAAAAATGTGTCAAATTTGACAGTTGACATGGCTCTACCAAATAGTGAATAACTGTTTTTATAGGAAGAATATTATGGTTTGANTATACCATGATGGGGGTTCAACCTCCATGCAGCAGCTTGTTTGGTAGATGGTATATAGAGACCACAACCAGTAGATGAACCATCAACCATTCGTGAGCCATCGCAGTATATTACCCTGTAGTTAGGGTACTTTATATCTAGATGTGCAGCAAAAAGACAGGGTGTGACATCCATAGAGCTTGTTTGGAAGTTGAGGCAGACAAGTGGGGACAAACAACACCAAGGCGGAACCGGATCAAGCACAGGAGTGGGCTGACCATGACATGGAGGGAGACCGAGTTCTTGCAGTATCCGTGGGCCATGTTGAAGTGCTGAGATCTTGTCACCAAAGACAACTTCAGAAGTTTTATCCCCATTTGAACGGTATTTTAAGCGAATATACATACTGGCAGTCAGATAATGACGTCTCAGTCTCAGGGCAGGAATATGAGCCTCCACTCGATCCAAATGTGCTGGCAAGATTTTCTGAAGGCGTAAATTTTGCTGGTGATGCATCACCTATAATCTTGCAATATTCACCCACTTTCTGCAGTCTGCACCCAGGAACCACACAACAGGGGTCCCCCAGGCTGCCAGGCATAGTTGCAAAGCAGACTGCAGAGGTTTAAGGTTTTTAGAATTTAGTTTTAGACTCTCCCTCAAGTTCATTTTTGAGTCCTATAAGTAGACCAGTAAAATATCATGGATACCAGCATTATCACACTTAAGAAATTCATTTAAATCTTGAGTAAATGAGGAAATTAAAATTGAACAGATTTTAAAAATTTCTAGTTTGTCACTATGCCACCAGGCCCCATCCCAATGGTGTCCAATCCAGGAGAACTCTCCAGCTTCATCATAGCCCATACCTAGGACTCATAGGAGGGTTACTGGATTAGGGTTAGGACTTACTACTTAGGGTAAGTTAGGGACACGTTTTGCAACTCTCTTAGAATGTTGAAAGACTTCATTGTCATCTAAACTCCTGGCTACTGCGCCGCCTGCGTTGCATTCCCGCTTCTTGACTCAACTTGCCTGCAGAGTTCATGTCTGTCAGACTATTATAGTGTCGGTCTGTGCTGAGACAACCGGACCCAAAGTAACACTATCATCTTCGATCAGAGCTGTCTTCCTCTGAAAGCTCAAAAGTAGGAACTCTCACCTGGTTGATCCCCTTGATCCCGCCGTGATCAAGCGCAAGCCTACATAAAAATTGGCCGCCACTAAGACGGCGGCCGGCCGACGGTAGCAGCCAACCCTGTTGGCTGCTCGCTGCCATGGCAGCACACGCTCATCTTCTTCTTCTTCTTTTCAAGGTGTCCACGTTGGGTGGACTGAAAGCCACAGGACAGCCGCAAGGGTGACCGTTGGGCCTGAGAGCTTATGTTATGTTGGACTTCTTGGTAAGGAAAGCTGGCCTCTTTGTCCTTGTTTGTACAAGGTCAATAGAGGTGATAGATGAGCTTGACAGCATGTAAGAGAGAATTTACACATGACATGGATAAGTTACATGCACACGGAACACAGATGACTGTATGCAGTCACTCAGAAAAGTTGCACATGACATGATCATTGCTCTTCAGAACTGAGCACTAGATTCAACAGTTAAGTTAGATAGATTTATATACATAGAATGACATAGATTATGCACGTACACAAACATATACAATATACATA